AAAAAAAAGTAATTAATTTTAAACAGACCTGATTATGATCAGGTAAATGTGAGAAGTGACAACTTATAGAATTAGGTATGTCTTCATTATCGGTATTCCAGGTCTCCTACAATATGTATGGTATGGCCCTAATTTATCATTGTATCCTCATTATCTACTACTTCTCCAGTTAGAAAGTACTTACCAGATGAAACAGACAAATCCCTATTTTTTAAAATTAATAATTATTTTACTAACAATACCACTAATGTTAATAGTCATATTAAAATTCTGAAGAATATTAAGAAAGGAAAAACATATTTATAGCTAATACATATTCCCAATGTAAAAGCAGATTAGCTCCTTTTAAAAAAATTCATTTTCAAAATTAACTTTTAGAACATAAAGTTATTTAAAAATTAACTAAATAGTACCTTCAATAGTCTACAGGAAGGAAATTCTGGTAGAAAATGTAATTTATTTCTCCGCAAATAAAGCAATTCTAGTGATTCCATGTCAGCCAATTCAGGAGGTATAGTTTCCAAGAGATTTGAATTACAATCCAAGTGTTTTAATCCTGTAATGTATATTCAGTGAAAAACAAAAATACTTTAATAAGGAAAAAAAAATTAGTCTATGATTGTATGCAACTTCAAAGAATGTATGAGAAATCAACATGAGGACTTAAACCAGTGCCATTGTATACCATTATAATAATCAAGAATACTAGAATGCCAATAAACTAAATAAATGTAAATTAAGTTCTTTAACATTTAGTTATAATTAAAGAGAAACGATATTAAAATTAATATTTAATAATAGTCCAGTTCATCTTTGTAATACATTTAAAAAATAAAGGCCTCTAGTACTCTAAAACACATACACTATACATTTATTATTTACCTCAATTATTATGCATCTTTAAAAAGAAAAAGTTTAATGTAATTAAAGACATATAAACACATATACATACTGGTTGAATGAATGGATGTCAAGTAACCCTAGCTAGTAATGGCTTAGATACATCTGTATTTTAGGCAAGTTAACTTTTCACCAAACAGCCTTGAATTTCTATGTATTCCTTCCCATTCTTCTATCTATCCATACTATCTTCCTCTCTCTTTCCCTGACCCTCTTTCCTTCCTTTCTTCTTTTTTTTTTAATTACTTGCTTTTCCTAATGTCTTAGATAACATGCCTGACAAGAA